TAATTTATCAAAACACTTGTATGTAGATTATATTTTAAAATTATATATAGGCCTAGTCTATGTATAATATGAATCCTCTCCAAATCAAACAAAATAATTCAAAATAATCAAAACCAGGATTGCTAGGCAAAGTTTTAAAATGGAGCGGCCTTTTGGGGAGGTGCATTGAGATGGGGTCTTCTTGACTGAAGTTTTCTTTTGTTGTTGTTGTTGTTGTCTCAGTAGTATTGGTGGGCAGGCGCTCTGTTTTTTCGCTGAAAATAGAATTTTGAGGAAAAAAATCACATTACTGACCCTTCAGTTTTTCCATCCATCCATCCATCTGATAAGTGTATGAATGTAGGTGTGTCAAAGTAGGCTAATGTGTAATTGAGTGCAAGTGTGCCTATGTGTGTGTGTGTGTGTGTGTGTGTGTGTGTGTGTGTCTGTGTGTGTGTGTGTCTGTGTTTCGGCCCATGTGGCTGACTTTTAAAAAGTTGGGGTAAAATACACTAAGCTTTTTTCTAAGGTTAGGAAAAGGCTCAAAGGGGGGAAATGGCTGGGAAGAAAGGAATCAGATAGGAATCGATCTACCAAAAAAAAATGAAAATAAAGAGTCTGCTTTATAAGTTCCAGAAGGGAGCTTTACAGTAATGTACATAATAGTGGACATCATCAAACGTATTATTATAGTAATAATAACAGCATTGAACCGATCCAACCAAATGCAGAGTGGCTCCAATTTAATTTTTTTTAAATGTGACCGCCTGCTGTACAGTACAGGTTCAAAGCTGGATGAGTTCAGGCTCATACTGTCAAGCGTGTGTCGGTGACAAGGCGTTTTAATGGGTGGTAAAGTCACTTAAGTATATTTTTGAACAGCACACAATAACCCTAGCTCAAAAAGGAGGCACTGTACATCGGCAGGGAGAGACTGTCTGTAAGACGATAACAGTAACCACATTTCAATTTGTGTCGTCCTCCTGCCACCTTTCGGGAATTTTACTAGGTCCACAATGTGAGACCTAATGTGCCAAACCTTCGGCATTGCTTCAAGTGCCAAAAGTTTGTCAATATACAGTGGGAGTGCCACAAGCATCAGTGGATTCTCCTTGTGGTACGAAATAGCTGCTCTTTTCGAGGAACTCGCAAAACTGTTCGCCAGCCAGTGTGACCCCGGTCCATGGCTAGTTGTATGCGAAGGCATTTCGGCCATTCACAAAGTCGGCCAATACTAAGACTTGTATTGCCGACCTTGCACAGCCCACAGTAAGCGGGCGTAACGTATACTGAAATAGGAAGGTTCTTCTGCCCAGTGTGGCACCTACCTTTCAAGAGCTACTTCATAACAGCTTTGGGGCTCTAGGGGAGGACGAGCTGGACACCCCCTACCCTCCTTCCTTTCATCCTAACCTATTCCCTCGTCCATTACAAAATCACGACACTTATAGGCCACACTGTGCCCACTTCTGGTCTGTATTGGGGATGCCACTTTATACTCGGATTTCACTGTAGACATAAAGGGTTTTACTGTGCAAGACAGGATTTCTTAGAGAACCAGCCTGCTTCCATTGGAACCGCCATCTCCATCGACAAAAAAATCGCTCCACAGACAAATACATCTTAACTCTTTCTGTACAGGTCACCCTTCACAGACCAATCACAGTCTTCTCTTTATATCATATCCCGCCAAAATACCTCTTCAAAATTAACTCCTCAAACCCTATATTTAAAGTCAAACCTCACTTACCGCCAGCTTTTGCCAAAGTGCAAAAAGTAACGCCTCTAAAAACATAGTATGTGCGCCTCAATACTGCCATCCGTCATCCCCGGAGTGTCTGAGCTGTATGTTCCCTTTTAAAATAATGTAAATTTGCCTCGCTATGCCGCCATAGGTTCACATTACACACATCACAAAGCCTCCACGTACTCGTTTGCTGCTTGATAATCTCTTTCCCATATAATATGCCTTTGCCAGTTCGGCATATTTCTAGCGCTTGTCGTCGATTTGCTCCTACTTTGCAATGATTATAAATTACTATTATTTTTAAGGGGCACTAGGTACAGCTGAAGTGTAAATTTTTGTTTGGGCTCTAAATTAAGTATACTGGAATTCCCAATAACCAATATGGGCAACAACAAAAAACACACACAATAGAAACACACTATCCCTATATGATTTCACTGTCAATTTTCAGAATTCTTCAGGTGCAAAGGGTTCGACAGACCAAAATTCGCGCAAATTCTATGCAGGGATTCTGAAAAAGATTGAATTGATACAGCCTTGATTTTTTTTAACACAGTGGTTCTTTTCTTTCTTAAGTCTCATACTTTTCTTGTAACTGCCCTTTTAGTTTCATATACGATACTCGGACAAAAAAAATGATCACAATCAGAGTGAAACGGTCAATCTTTTTTACACTGACCGAATACTTATTATAATATTTACGTACGTTGCAAACATATTATCTAGAAACAGTCATGCAAAGTGGGATTGACCTGCGACATGTACTTTCAGAAATATCTCTTTCTAGGTGACCCACCCCCTTAAGAAAATCATAGTTTTGAGAAAATCGAAAAAATACCTCAACCGAATTCATACTGGTCTATTTCAACACAATGTTCGCAAACAAGGCAAATGTGAGCACTTTATAGATGTTTCAGACACTTGAAAATATTTCCAATCGATAAAATAGATGTTGCAATACTAAAATAGTCAAAATTCAAAAAATAGGTTTTGGATACCAAAATCGATTTTTTCTGGCTGTTGGCTCCTGCGTTCGTTTACATTAAGTTTTAACCAATATTTCAGGGAAGACATGCATGTTTTTATTCAAAATCCGTTATGCACAGACTTACCGATCATTTAAAGGCATTTTATATGACTCTGGGGGTCTTGTAAGTTATTCAGGTAGTTAGATGCACACTACTTCTACGCTCCGGGCAAATGTTTACATTTTAGAGTGTCACGACCCCCTATAAATTATAAAGTGTTATTTTAGTGCAGGTGTATTTTTTTTATCTGTAATATTTTGACAAAGTAAACGCAGTATGGTACCGGCACTCTGTTAGAGGATTTTTTAAATATCGTTTATAATAAGCAATTAACCCGGAGTTTAACATATGACTTGTTAAAATACCGAAATGTTCCTTAAAGTCACTCCCTGTGAGGCTTATAGAACGTAGTTATATGAAAAATATTCCTTAAGGGTAGGTGGCAGTTAATGTTTCTAACTTTGTTATTAACACATCCCAGCATCATTCAGATTGATTATAAAACACTTTAGGAGTTCAAACTGAATATCAAATAGCAAAATTTATTCTTTCTTTAAGGAATTTGAAAATATTTCATGTTTTGGGGTACAAAAGCAATTTTGACTCAATCCGGCCCGCGCTCTCGCTCAATCAGTATATTGACTAAAGTGCTTATATTTTCACATAAGCACACTAACAATAAAATCTGTGATCCTGGGTGGGCTTTTTTTGATACTTGAAACCTCTAAAGAGATATTGAGGATAACGTCATAGCTATTGCTTGACTCTATTAATTTTTGCATTTTCGCATCAGCTGAAGCACTTGAAACTGCATTTTTCAAAATCGGTGAGAGATATAAAAAAAAGCCCACCAGGATCACAGAAAATTCATTTTCACATAGTCAGGCCAAATTTAAAAGAAATCTTCCACTTGAGTTTTAAATGAGAGTCCGGGCCACAACCCATACCCCTTAATTTTTGTCGTTTTGAGAAAACTAGGACAGGAGACATCCAATCTTCTCCTGGTTGAAAAGAATAGAAGAGAGAAAAAAATCTGGGAAAAACCCATAAGAATAAGGATTTAGGTGTTGTTATTATCCTATGCAAACAGAAGTTAGTATCCGATTCAATGGCAAAATTGTAATAGCAGATTTAAAAAACGTTTAACACTCTAAGCAGCAGGGAGTTATTTATGCAGACCCCAAGCACAAGAATTCAGCTGATAGAGTCCAATTTCATTTATAACCAAAAAAAAAAAAAAAAAAAGGACAAGAAAGCAGAATACATACACTCAAACCCTGCAAAACTGCCACTGTTTTACTAGCCCAGCTTTCCACCAGGTTTTGCCAAAGAACAAAAAGGAATGCCTTTATAAACATAATAGGCTACTATTTGCCCCCTACCTGAAATGAAGCCTACTAATGTTAATTTTCCCCACAACCCCTTCACTCCATAAATAGGTTTAAATGGTGGTGAAGGGGGTATTATCTCTCACAGTAATACTAGGCCTAATCTGTAATCTGAATGTAATCTGAATCAAATCAGTATCAATAAAAATGCAGTTATTATTTGATTTTTACTTCTCTTCACTTAAACTGAGTAAGACATTGTTTTCAATGAACTAATAACTCTATAAGTATAGCCTAAGTATAAGTGAGGCGTTTTTCTGAGAGAGATATCGGGTATCACTCTGATTTCTCATGACATGTAAGAATCAAAATCAATTTTGACTTACTGTTTTGCCACATTGGTTGACACACACCACCTCCTTTATGAGTATGGAATCATAGGGGTTGAGGGCCAATACAGTGGGAATGATTTTGAATCTCCTTCACCAATGAGTGAGGTGTTCCTCATCTAGTACTAGAGTGAGCAACCCCATAGGACACCTTCGCTCTCTTTACCTAGACGGGCCACTGTAGTTGACCTGACATTCAGGCTTGTGGATTTACAGTCATGAGTCAAACTTATCAGTTGTCAGCTGGGCCTTCACAGATTAGCAAAGCTGGGAAAATACACAAGCTGATTAGTGAATTACCAATTTGTTGGTAAAACAAAACAAAAATAACAGCTAGAGAGAAAAGAATTTGGCAACAAATCACTACTACGTAATGTATCCTACTGGCACCAATGTTGGAGTACCTAAAGAAAACTGAGAGAACGTATTACAAAATATTAATTCGGTATACCTACAAATTTCTTGAACATCGTTTTGCTATTAATTTGAATGCCCCCCCCCCCCCAACTCCACGAAAAAAACCACAAAACAGAATAAGAAAAAGAAGGAATTGGGTGCGATCGCCATGAATTGTGGTGTAAGGGAGTATACCAAAATATTAGTTCAATACAAGACCACAATACAAATAAATGCCGAATGTTACCATTGAAGTTTATAGCACGGCCAATTAAAAATTGCAATCGTAGGGCCTATAGAATCTATATATTCATGATCTAACCCAGCGATGAGCAGCAGTTTAACACACTTGTAATTTGATATACGTTCAAAACAGAGCAGACAAGTTAATGAGACATACTCTTATCTACTTGTGTCTGCAGTCCGGAACTGAAGATTTTCAGCTTTTACTTTTAAATGTATTTTTCCCCGCCCCAGTGATAGCTAGATTCTAGATCTCTATAATATACCGGTACGAAAACAATTGAAGGAAAACTGGAAACTTCAAACTGGCTATAGAAATTATCCAGAATCTATTACTAGATCTAGCCCCAAACTAAGCATAGTCAAGTCATAGAGAAAAGAGAATCATCCACGACCACTGAGGACTGTAAAAGTGAGGGAATGTGGCATTATGTGGTTAAAATCTTGTCTGTTCTTCTAGGTCAGTCGATCGATAAAATGTCAAAGCAGGTCAAAGCTCATATTATGGCTTTGCAAGTAGTCCACAAACTCACAGCTTTCGCACTGTGACAAGGCTACTTGTTCCGAAAATGCACACACCTCCCTTCCAAAAGTTGCTCATACTCTTCATCAGTTCTCCCTTCACTAAAGTAATTCCAACATTCAGCTCATGAATTGAACTACTGAATATTGCCAATGTTGTTCGTAAAACAAGCCAGCCCAAGTAGTGTGTCCTGATCCTAATTTTAGTAGGCCATTACTAGACTTGCACTAACTTAGACGTAGGTCAGCAAGCAGCTGATATTACGACTTACGATCGTATTAGGCTATACAAGTTCAAAATAAAACACCAGTGAATGAAATATACTCTTACCTGCTCAGAATATCAGTTGAAACATTCTCAAAGCAGAAGAATGTCAGTTATTCTTCCTCTTTTTCAAGTGACAGTAGCTTACGAAAACCGAGAGATGTGTTGTCCGCGGGTGACAAAACACGCAGATGTTGCATCCTGGGATTGAAAGCTTTCTGTGCGAATGGGAAAAACGTTGGAGCTATAAATAAACCGAAGCGTGTGTACTTGACTCGACGAAAGTTCAGTTTGACCCCCGCGCCGAATTACTAGTTAGCAGAAGATCTACTAGATTGTTTTGGCAGTCAGGGTAGAAAATCAACGGATCAACGAAGCAAAAGTTTTCATTACTTCTGTAATTTGCCTGTAATTTGAAAGAGGGGGTACCTACTAAAATGATTGACAGCGTGTTTCAAAAATGTGTTCTTGGTAAAAGAAACACGTCAGATCTATTCCTAATACGTTGAAGTAGCCAATCCGATATAAAGCCAAAAATCAATAATTTTTGCCAAAAATTGTATTTTGTGACCTGAATATTCCCCGTGTGTACCTTAAATCAAAAAGGCCTCTAACAGGTTGCAACTACGCCAATTGCCCACTCTGAGGCCAAATTTCAAGGGAATCCTATAAACAGTCTCCGAAATCTCGCTGCACTAAAACCCCATACCCCCCAAAAATATCACACACACACACACACACACACACACACACACACACACACACATACACACACACAAATATATATATATATATATACACATACACACGCACACACACACACACACACACACACACACATATATATATATATATATATATATATATATATATATATATATATATATATATATATACAGTGGGTGCCGCATTCAACGAGGTCGCATTCAACGAGAAGTCGGCTCCAACGAGGCAATCCTTAATCCTCGATTTTTTTCCTCTATATCTCTTTGTAAATGTACGTCGGCTCCAACGAGGTTGCAGACAGACAGAAGTCGCTTTCAACAAGGTCGCGATAACCAAATAAAAGCAATTAGCGGCCCTAAAAGCGAAGAATTTTTCTCCTTTCTATCCATCTCACGCGAAGCACAAGGCCCATTACCGATTCCTAACACATTGTATTGCTAGATCTAGTGTGCCTCCTAATATGGGCCCCAAAGCCAAGAGGATGGGCAAGAGTTAGCCTACGGTAGGGATGGGAGGGGGTGGGTGAGAACGCGATGCGGGCTGTGTGAAACTGGATGAACTCTGGATGGGTAGGTCTAGATCGAAACTTTCATTTTTTTTTCAATTTTCTTTTCTTCCTCTGATCAGGAAATCCAAGCTCTCGCCTTAACTTTATGTATATCTAAGTCTAGATGTGAGAGGGTATGTTTCCACACGAGAAGTGTTCAGGAAAAAAGTATTTTAAAATGCAGAAATGACGGTCAGAGCACAGCTCAAACACGTGCACACTGATGCTGTTTGAGATTTTCATCATCAGGGGGAACAACTGTTTTAATTACTGGTATTGGTACATCCTATAATATAATAACTTGTCTCCTTTCTTTACTTTAGCCTTAGTCACGTTCAACGAGAGGTGGGATCCAACGAGGACAACAAGCCGGTCACGGCAAACTCGTTGAATGCGACACCCACTGTATATTCATTCATCTGGAGCAGAAGCTAGCATTGGTGTATTGGCGTCTGTAAAGGGGTCGCTGATTGGGTACCCAAAAAGAAGCAGTGTATCTGATAGGTGACACTCCATAAGCCATAGCAGAGAATGATCTACGAGTACAACACGCATTTACAATCCCCCCCC